ATATATATATCCACTCTAGTCTATGCTTTAAAACTGTATGTGGGTCCTGAGCATCAAGGATGTTGACCTTAGTCAGATGTGGCATCACAGCCCAGCATTCTGGGAGGCTAAGGCAGGAGGGTCTTCAGTTGGAGCCCAGCTTATTAAATTAAACATAATTTAAAAGGGCTGGGACTATAGCGCAGGGTTCAATTCCCAGTACCATAAAGAAGAAAAGAGAGATACGGACTCCTGGACTTTTGTTAGTAGCATGTGGTGATACTGACATGGGGGAAGAGATGTAATCTCAAACCTGCTAGACATCCAAAGCAGGAGTTTGTATTCTCTAACATTGACAAATGAATTCTAGAAACAGTGGAGGTTAAGAGTAGGAAAAATGTATTGGGAGAAAGAAAGTTTCTGTCTAAGGGAGACAGGAGGGGGAAGAGAAAGTAGGTGGCCCAAGGACCCTGTTTCCCAGGGGATTTTAGGGAGCAAAACCATGAGGTAAGGCAGGTTAAGGTGGGACAAAACTACAGTCATCTAATAAGATCACAGGTACAGTCGCTTAGGTGATATCGATCCAATGGGGAATCTCCAGGTGGGTATGAGGTGGGACAAAACTACCATGAACCAGTAAGATTACAATAAAGAGTTGCTTAGGTAATACTAATTGAATGGGGACCCACTGGGGCAGCAAGCCGCAGAGCAAGCGTACAAGGAAGGATCAAGGGTTTTCAGTAAGGGGTGGGTCAGGCACCTTTCCTGGAAGGGATGGGTTAAGGTCCCCTACCAGGTGACTGATACTTATTTAGAATATCCATCACTGGGCGGGGCATTTAGCTCAGCGGTGCCATTCCTGCCTGGCAAGCACAAGGTCCTGAGTTTGATTCCCAGGACCAGGGGGAAAAAAGAAGAAAAGAAATGAGTGTGGGTCCCCAAGAGAGACAGCCACCTGGCAGTGCTTTGAAGTATATTTTCCTTCTTTTCTTTTCTGGTACTGGGGATTGAACCCAGGGCCTTCACACTGAGCTACACCTCCAGCCTTTTGTTTTGTTTTGTTTTGCTCTTTATATATTGGGGCGGGGTAGTAGGGGTCTCACTGTGTAGTCCAGGCTGGCCTCCAACTCAGGATGGCCCTCACCCAGAGTGTACCACCATACAGTACCTCGCTTCTTTTTATTTGTGAGACAGAGTTCTTGCTAATTTGCCCAGTCTGGGCTCCAACTTGTGATCTTCCCACCTCAGCCTCCCAGAGAGCTATACATGCCTGGTTCTTAAAATACACCTTCATCAAAGATGTATGTAACTGAAAAGTTCAATACAATACATTGAGTCATCAAGAATACCCCTATATCCACCAGGGGTGGTGGTGCCCTCCTGTAATCCAGAACTCTGGGAGGCTGAGGCAGGTCAATTAAAAGTTTGAGCCTAGCCTGGACAACTTAATAATTTGTTGAGATCCTACCTCAAAAATAAAAAGTTAAAAAGGACTGGGGATGTAGCTCAGTGCTAAGGCCCTGGGTTCAATCTACTAAGGGGGGAAAGAATACCAGAATATTAAAATAATTATATATTTCCATTAAATTAAGTACAGTAGTTCATTTGATCCTTACAGTGATACTGTAATTTTAAAAACGTGTGTTGAGACTGCAGATTTAGCTCAGTGGTGCTGCCGCCTGCCTCGCAAGCGGAAGGTTCCGAGTTTGATCCCTGGTACAAGAAAACCCCAGGTAGTACCATGGGGCTTCACCATTGTGAAAAAAAAAAAATGTTTGTTGAGCCAGGGCCTCACTACACAGTCCAGGATGGCAATGATCTGTCTAAATGGCCCAGGCTCTCCCAGAACTTCAGGTTCTCCTGCTTCAGCCTCCCAGGAAGAGGAATTATAGGCATGTGACACTGTTAGAGTTTATATCTAGATGTCTCCCTAAGCCTCGTGTGCTCAGAGGTGGAGCTCTGGGGAGGAGACTGGATCACGGGGATGTGGCGCTCAGCAGGGCATTTTGTTCTTGTTGTTGTTGCTTGTTTGTTTGTTTTTGAGATGGGGTCTTGCTATGTAGCCCAGGCTGGCCTTGAACTCTCAGGTGATCCTCCTGCCTCAGCTCCCAAGTACTGGGATCACAGGTTGCACCACCATGCCTGGCCTCATCAGTGGATTCGTTTACAGCTAAATGTGATGCCTGGAGGTGAAGCCGGGGTCTCTGGGGTCGCGGCCTGGAAGGGGCTGTCTCTCTGCCTCCTCCCTTGATGTCCCCCTCCCCGCCCTTCCTGCCTGCCAGGAGCCACAAGCCTTGGAGTCAGCCGACTATGGACTGAAACGTCCACAGAGTGTGAGCCAAAATAAACCTTTCCTCCTTTAACTTGTGGGTGTTGCATGTTATGCCTTTGTGACAAGAAAGAAACTAAGTCAGCCACTGTTTTAGAGTTAATTTAGAAAGTGGCAGAGCTGGATTGAGAATGGAGTCTACTGGATGTTGGTAGAATATTATTGCACTTTTACTTCCTTGCTCTATAAACTACCTAATCAGAACAATACCATAAATAGTATTGCAGGAAGACTAAACATGTATAAAGAAGGACAATTTAAACTGAATAAGATGGTACACACTTGTAATCTCTGCATTCTGGGAGGCTGAGGCAGGAGGACTGCAAGTTCTAGCCCAGCCTGGGCAACCTAGAGACTTAGCCAGACCCTGTCTCAAAATTTTAAAAAACGGTTGGGGGGAAAAAAAGGGTTGGGGATATAGTTCAGGGAAAAGATCCTGGGTTCAATCCCAGACTCACCATCACCATCAATAATAATAACACAGATGAAAGAATTTACTTTGAATAAATCTGCCTTACACACACACATTCACATATTACAGAGCAGAGAATGGAGGTCCTAGTGCAAGCCCTCTCCTGCTATCAGGCAATTCCTGTAGAAATGGCTTGCCAATGAAACGTAGTCCAGGTCCTTTTTTTTTTTTTCCTTTGGTACCAGGGATCGAACTCAGGACCTTGCGCTTGAGAGGCAGGCGTAGTGCCACTGAGCTAAATCCCCGGCTCCGGGTCCTTTTTGCCTCAAAGAATTAGACCAGACAAACCAGGAACGGTGCCAAAAGTTTGTGGGAACTCAGGAGAAGCCCCGCATACAGGGTCCTGGGGTCACAGAATGAGCTGGTGTCACTTGTCATTCCAGGCAGCCCGGCCACACCCCCTCCTCTCTCACTGCCA